TATGTGCCCTCTTCCCTTCCAGCCTGTCACTCCATTATTATCTGTAACAGTCAGAGCAATCAGAACAAGAAATGAAAAGCTAATGTCTAGCTTCACAGAATCAACAGAGATTGGCTCACTCCTTACTAACTGAAGCAGTCAGTCATGAAAAACTGAGCCTAACCAGTATTTACAATCTTACTATTTCTTGGTTCATTAAGAGCTACATCAATGGGTTCTGCATGTTTATAAAGTCCCCATTAGGGATTATTTTAGCAAACAGATGCATTCATTTACTGAGCTAAAAAAGAAGTTTCTTGCAGTATTACTTGCTGCCCATTTATAACACTCTGGTCTCCCAGGGACTGTGAGGGAATGTACAATGATAGTGATGTTATTTTCATGCCTGCTTATAAATCATATGGATGATATCTCTTCTGCAACCTGTTGATCAAGGACTCATTCTGGTGTTAAAGCTGTGTGTTGAAGAATTACTGTTCATTGTTTCTTATATGACACAGACAGTAATTCTTCCAACTGACCTGGACAGGGAACACAAACATCTGCAATGATTCAGCATTGTAGATGGCAACAAGAAACTCTGAGACACCAGAAACGGCAGAATTAAGTACCACTTGAGAATAGAGGATTTTTTGTGGTTTTCATGAGAAATGTCTCCCATAGTCATATGAATACATGGTCTTTAGTTGCTAGTATGGTTTGAGGATGTTTGTGTGTGGCCTTTTGTAGGAAACATGTCACTGGAGGAGGGCTTGGAGAGTTTAAAACCTTTTCCCAGTTTGCTTGTATTTGAAGACGTGAGTTCTCAGCATCTTGCTCCAGGCATCATGACTCTTGTTTGCTTCCATTCCTGCCTAACACAACAGACCCTTATCCTGTCACTATAAGCCCAAATAAACCCTGCCTCCTATTAAGTTGCCTCGGTATGGTTACCTTATCATAGCAACAGAAAAGTAATTAAAACATATTCCTATAAAAATCTAGTTTAAGGGTTTACGATACAAGCTAAGGAACGATCTTGAGAGTATCTTTGTTCTTGTGACAATTAGAAATAAATGTGGAGCCTGCACTGTAGCTGGAGAATTTCTCTCCAGCTCCTCCAAGTTCTGCCAGTCCTGGAACCCACTTATAAAATAAACACACAGACTCTTACATTATTTAAACTGCTTGGCCATTAGCTCAGGCCTGTCATTGTCTAGCTCTTACTCTTATATTTAGCCCATTTCTATTAATCTTTACTTTGCCACGTGGCTTGTGGCTTACGGTACTTTACATCTTCTTTGTCCTGGTGGGGGCTCCAGGCGGTCTTTGTTTTTCTTCCTCCTTCCTCAATTCTCCTCTCTGTTAGTCCCACCTATACTTCCTGTCTGGCTATTGGACAATCAGTGTTTATTTATATAGAGTGATATCCATAGCACTGCATATGTGATGAGATTGCTGATACCTCCTGACAGCATAAGAAAGAAGGTTCCTCACAGATAAGGAATGAGCTTCTTTTGTTCATGGAGTCCAGAGCTAGTAAATACCCATTGTCATGTGAGAATATAGGGTTTATCATATGGATGATGTAGGTAGGAATGCAGGAATAAGTTCTGAGAGGATCTACCCTAATTATGAAGGAATTTCTAGTACAGAGAAGTGCTGTCACCTAGCATCTTCTATGACAGAGAAGTCTTACAGAAGAAAAGGTGAATTGTATTTGATATTCACAGTTTTCTTATTCTACTATGTAGCCACAGCACCCAGATCTTCAAAATCTCCACAGTGATCAGTCAGTTATGATCTGTTCCCACTGTCCATAGCTTATGATTGCAAAACAGAACTCATCATCTGCATCAGAAAATAAGTTTTTTTAAAAAAAAATTTAAGGTCTGTGTATTCATTTTGACCTAAGTCACCTTCAACAAACTGTTCCATATTCTTCATATATATTTATTTTTAAATCTAAAAATATTTTATGTGTATAGGTGATTGGGTTGCATGTATATCTGTGTACTGTATGCAAGCCTGATGCCCCTGGAGGCCAGAAGAGGGCATTATATCCCTTGGAACTAGAATATAACTGGGTACAATTGGTTTCTCAGTGTATTTAAATGTATAAAGAGGGATTGGAGAGGTGACTCAGAGGTTAGGAGCACCGGCTGCTTTTCCAGAGAGCCCATATTTGATTCCTAGCACCCACATGGCAGCTCACATCATCTGTAACTCCAGTTCTGGGGAATCTGTGGTGCCCTCTTCTGACCTCTGCATGCAGCAGGTGCAAAATTTGTGCACATACATACAGACAAACACACACATGGAATTAGTATAGAAATAATTAAAAAAGAAATTATTAAAATATCCATTAGCAATCAAAAGACTAAAAGTATGATATACTTGTAATGTATATGTATATATAATGGCTCCATATTTATGTAAACGCGAGATTAGCAATAGTATTCAGACATTCTGAATATATCTTTATTTTGTGATACATAATGAACATAAAATGGAATATATTGTTAAATAAGCTGTATGTGATTAGGAAAATGTCATACATTTGTTTTGTGGAAGTACAAAGTTGACCTTAAATCCCAGTACTCAGGAGAAAAAAGCAGGCAGTCTCTCTATAGGACCAAAGCCAGCCAGCACTACTTAGTGATATTTTGACTCTAAAGCAAAGGGGATATGGGGAGGGACTGAAGAGATGGCTCAGCAGTTAGAAGTATTGGCTGTTCTTGCAGAGTACCTGAATCTATTTCCCACATGTTGCTCAAAACCATCTATAACAATAGTTCCAGATGATCTGACATCCACCTCTGGCTTCTGCAGGCACCAGGCATCCATGTTGCACAGACATACATGCAGCCCAAGCACTTATATATGTAAAAAATAATAAAATAAATTTTAAGCCATTATTTGCTGACAAGGATTGCACTGATTACTTAGACTATTATTGGGATTATGGCCACTTGTACATTGTCATTTATCTTAGTCAATGTGCATGGAAACCCATTTTCTTATTTATATCTTTCCCTCCCCCCCCCCTTTTTTTAATTTAGTACCTTAAAAATTTTATCACAAGTGACAGTGTGTATAAGATCGGCACAAGAGTTCAAACCAGACCAAAAAAAAAAAAAAACAGCATTGAGAAATGGAAGCGGGCACACATTCTCATCCCTGGCCAAGAACTTTGTAATTGCTATCTGCTAGGAAAGCAAAAATGAGTTTTCTCCAATGAAGTATTACTGGGTATCAACCATATTCCAGGGCAGACCCCATGCCAAGGAGTAGTTGCCCAACATAAAACAGATTCTTCTGTGTGTGTATGTGTGCATGCACACGTGTGCATGTATGTACCTTTTGTTTTAGATTTTTTTTGTCATATTGTCCCTTTTTGTTTGTGGATTTTCATTTTTAATTTTTTTGTTATTTTTCCTGGTTTTTGTTTTTTCATAAGAGAGAGAGAAACATGAAGTTAGGTGGGGAGGGAGGGAAGGAGGATCTGAGAGGAGTTGAGGGAGGGATGAATATATGAAATATATGTAAAATAATTTTAAATAAAAATTTTACAGTTCATCTTAGAAGTTATTTAGCTCCATAGTTAAGCTTATTCCTGTGCCTTTTGAAAAGTACTGTTAGCGGATTAATTTCCTAATTTATTTCTGCATGTGCTCATTTTAGGCACATGGGAAAATTAGTAATTTTTATATGTTAATTTTCTGTTCAGTATTACTTAAAGCACTTATCATATCTAACAGTTTCTCATGGTATCTGTGGGACTTGTATTTATATGATCATGTCATCACTGAAAAAAGTAGTTTGATGTATTTCTTTCCTACTTTCATTGCTTTTTTTTTCTTTTTCAGTTTTCTCATGCTAACTTATTTTGTTGTTGTTGTTGTTGTTGTTGTTTTGTTTTGTTTTTCGAGACAGGGTTTCTCTGTGTAGTTTTGGTGTCTGTCCTGGGTCTTGCTCTGTGAACCAGGCTGGCCTCGAACTCACAGAGATCCACCTGGTTCTGCCTCCCACGTGCTGGGATTACAGGCATGCACCACCACCGCCCAGCTTCAAGCTAACTCTTAATACTGTTTATTAATTGAAACTGAAGAGAGTTTGTATATTTTTCTTGTTAAAATTTTATAGGTAAAGGCTGGAGAGATGGCTCAGCAATTAGCACTTGTTGCTTTCAGAGAACCAGGGTTCAGTTCCAGTACCCACATAACCCCCCACAAGCAGGGGATTCAGCACTCTCTTCTGAACTCCAGAGGCACCAGATACACACACATGGTGCACATACATACTTGCTGGCAAAACACTCATAAAATAAATAAATCTTAAAAATTGCAGTGTTAGAAATAATAATATACATATTTTTCTTTGCCCTGCACTGTTGTCTTAATTTTGGCATACACATCCTTTATTGTGTGAGCTCTGTTCCATGTATTCCTAGTTCCTTTAGAAGTTTTATCATGAATACTTGCTAAGCTTTGTGAAATGACATTTCTGTTTCTATTGAGAATTTTATTCCAGAGGATTTCTTCCCTCTGATTCATTGCTATTCTTGGTGATTGGATTATTGGTAGTACATTTCTGTCTTCCTTCTCGAAATCAATCCTTTGCTGTGTTTAGACACATTTAGTTACTGCATTTGTGTATTACACAAATGAAATGTATCATTTCCTATCTTCTCATAGATATTTTCTCTCTAATGAGTCTGTTTATGGTTTGTCCCTATTTGTTATCTGTAGTGCTACTTTTGGCTGAAATGAATTATGTTAATTTGTGTTTATCTTTATCTCCATCAATTTTACAAGGCAGTTTTTCTGGGTGCAACAATGTGGTTGACACTTCTTTGCTTTCAGGCCTTTAAATATAAATCCCATGCTCACCTGGCTTTAGGATTGTTGACACAGCATCTGGCATTATTCTGGGGGTTTGTTCCTCTTATGTTGTCATTGTGTCTTAAAAAATTTTAGTATTAATTTTAGCATTTTATGTTTGACATTTTGATATGGAAGGACCAGAAGAATTCCTATCATTGTTCTTAATACAAAAGGCTGAGAGAAGAGAGCAACAAGGAGAAATGGATGGTTCTCTGGTAAACACATCTCAGGTGGGTAGTAATGTCTACTTTTCTGTTAGAAATGTTATATATTGAAACCTTGCGAACCTTTAATTATGTGCTTATGATAATGCTATCTAAAGTGTTTAATTTCCATAATTTTTTGTCTTCTTGTATATAGAAAAGCACTCTATTTAGTATAGTAGTAGTTCATGATAAAACTATGGTTTGTTATTTCAGGGTCTGTTGACATTCAGGGATGTGGCTGTGGACTTCTCCCAGGAGGAGTGGGAATACCTGGACTCTATTCAGAGGGCTTTGTACATTGATGTGATGATGGAGAATTACAGCAATCTGGTCTCTGTGGGTGAGAATATTTTTATTGCAGAATTCCTAGGTCAATCTGTCACTCTTTGCATGGCTCTAGGTACTTGACCTGAGTAGTGGCAGTGAAAGAATAAAGAAAGAAAAACAAACACATGAACACCCAGAAAATCTGAGATCAGGTGGGCTTAGTTCTTAGATGGAGAAACCACAGCACCCTGGAAACTCAGTGTGTTTATTACATAGAGTTGAAGAAGGAGGTGGGGCTACTGCATAGAGCTGAACAAAGAAGTGTGATTTTATATGAATAAACAAGGAAGCAGGATTATGGTATACAAGGAGGCAGGTTTATGGTATACAGTTGAGTCAAGGGGACAGATTTAGTTAAATTTATTAGGAGCAGTCACTGTAGGGGAGCAGTCTTAAGGCCATAAACATATAGGAGAAGAAAGCTAAAGCGGACATTTTCTGCACACACGGTCATTGTTTCCATATACACCCCAGAGGAAGGCTTTACTATCTTTCTAAGCCTCACCCTGAAGATGAAGACTTCATCATTTTCCCATAGGTCTGAGACTGTGGTCTTTAACATGGCCAGTTCTGTAACAATGGACTCTCACTCAGGACTTCACAGACTCAGGGCTTCCTCAGCTCCTGACATTCATTCTTTGTATGCATCAGCTTTTTAGTGTGTAGACTCTGTGAAGCTGTCTCACAAACTAAAGGAAATTATCAAAATTTTGGTAGTAGAAATGAAGTTTTTCTTTGCATTATGTGTTTGTTTTGTCCTCCCTTTTGGAGGTATTATGCATCCTTCATTTTTGTTCTATGATACATTTAGAAACTCAAAAACATATAGTGTGCCCACCCATATCTTAAAGTTCCATTTTCATCATTCATCTGATACAGTTTTAAAATCCAAAGGCTGAAAATATTTCCTAAATATCTTCAAGATACTAACAGGAAATAACAATTGGCAATTTGTTTCTAGAATTCTTTAGGTTGTGCTCTGGTCATCTGCTGAGCAGAGTATTGTGTTAGCTTAGATGTCCAGGTAATTTTTTAAAGAATCTAGCAAGGGTTATGTTCCACTTTACAAAGCACAGGAATTGTCTGTAAGGTAGACTTGGTCACCTCTTGGAAGCCAGACAAAGTATCCTTAAATGTGAGGAGAGAGGAGACGATAGCCAGATAGATAGAGAACCAGATGGTGTTGTGAATGAATGAACAGGTCCAAAATAAGGGGTTCAAGTAAAACAGGAAGTACTGTCTGAAAAGGCTTTACCACATTCAGTTCTACTCACAGTAATTCTTGAAGTTACAAAATGGTTTCCTCAAGATGCATCAGAAGACTCTCTGTCTTATTATATCTGAGTTATATTGACTTAATACTAGTATGCAAATGCTGTCATCTTGAAATGATTGTGTTTTATAATCTGTCATAAGTCCATGAAGTAGGACTATTCTTTAATTACCTTCCTTGTAAATATATTACACCCTTTATTTTTAAAAACAGTATAATCTATCATGACTCCATGTAATTGCCTTCGTTGTAAATATATCAGCATGTTGAATCCTTCATTTGTTTTCTTAGTGGAATTGCCCTTCCAGAAAGTTATCTCAAGAACCAGTGAAAGCAGTGGTCTGGGGAATTTCCATTTAAGGAAATAGGGAAAACAGTAGTATGTGGATCTAAGTCAACATAGGGTTAGAAATAAACAATTACTGATAATGATGTCTCTTCCTCTAATGATCTACAGCATATGATACCTAGCAGAAATATTTATTTTGCCCTCACTTTTGAATACTCAACATATCTTTGAGAAAAATGCCCTATGAAAGTTTTAAGGAAACATTTAATTTTAAAAGAACTTAAGTATTCTAAAGATTAATCTTTGCTGCATATACTTAAGTAAATATTATAAATGCAGTATTGAATTAAACCATTTCTTTATTAATTTTTTAAAAAAATAAATAAGTAATGTATTCTAAATATAGTCAGAAAGCTCCATCCCAAATTTAATTACTGATTCCTCAGTAATTACTGTGTACATTTTTGTGGGAATCCATAACAATCATACTGGGCAAAAAATCTCCACTACTGAGAGCTCTATTCTAAATTACTGGTTTACTTAAAAGAACTTAGGGAAACAATTATACATTGAATCTGTTTAATCTTATATCAAACCCTATTAATGTACTCATTTTTCAGAGAACTATTGCATGTGTGAGATTGTCCATCAACATATGGATAGTGAAGAGATATATTCTAAATGTAATAATGATGTTGATGAAATCCTTCATGAATCCAACAGATATACAGTTTATAAAACAAGTAATACTACAGAATATTTTGATAACTTTAGCTGTGATTGTAGTCACAGGAATACCTCGATTGAATCATCAAATCTAAATAGAGATAAAAGCATGCACACTGGAGAAGAAACTTGCAAATGTAAAAATTCATTATTTGCCACTACCTACAAACTTATGCAACATGCAGTCTGTATTGGAGAGAAACCACACAAATTTAGGAAGTGTGGGAAATGCTTTGGTTCCTGTTCAAGCCTCACTGGACATCCAAGAATTCATACTGGAAAGAAGCTATATAAATGTGATGTTTGTGACAAATCCTTTACCCATTGCTCAAATCTTAGAACACATAAAAAAATTCATACTGGAGAGAAACCTTATAGATGCAATGACTGTGGTAAGTCTTTTATTCAGTTGTCGGCACTTAAAAGCCATTTCATTGTCCATACTGGAGAGAAGCCTTACAAATGTCAGGAATGTGACAAATCCTTTGCCCATGGTTCCACTTTCAGGAGACATAAGAAAATCCATACTGCTGAGGAACTTTATACTTGTCAAGAATGTGGCAAAGTGTTTTATCAGTTGCTATACCTTAAAAGCCATTACAGAACCCATATTGGTGAGAAGCCTTACAAATGCAATGAGTGTGACAGATCATTTATTCACTGTTCATCTTTTAGAAAGCATCAGAAAATACATTCTATAGAAAAACTATACATGTGCAAAGAATGTGGTAAGACTTTCCTTGAGTTGTCACATCTTAAAAGGCATTATAGAACCCATACTGGAGAGAAGCCTTACCACTGTGAAGTATGTGACAAATCCTTTACCACAAACTCAATTCTGAAAACACATCACAGAATTCATTCTGGAGAGAAACCTTACAAATGCAAAGACTGTGACAAATCCTTTACCCAGCATTCAAATCTTAGAAGGCATCAGAGAATTCATACTGGAGAGAAGCCTTACAAATGTCATGAATGTGACAAATATTTTACCCGATTCTCAACTCTTAGAAGACATCAGAAAATTCACACACTGGAGATAAAAATACCATTGTAAGTAAGTTGGCATATTCTTTATCAAGATCTTTATCTTAGCCGGATGGTGGTAGCTCACGCCTTTAATCCCAGCACTCAGGAGGCAGAGCCAGGCGGATCTCTGTGAGTTCGAGGCCAGCCTGGGCTATGGAGTGAGTTCTAGGAAAGGTGCAAAGCCACACAGAGAAACCCTGTCTCGAAAAAAAAAAAAAAAAAAAAAAAAAAAAAGATCTTTATCTTTTTGAGGCACAACAGGATCTATTATAGAGAGAAACAAGGACAAAAGAAATTTTTGAAACTCTTTAATGAAGGTTGGAATCTTAGAAAATATCACAAAAATTTATACTGAAGAAAATTCTTTCAAGTGTAACAATGTGGGGAAATCTTTAACAAAAACATTTTTGTAGTACAATATCAAAAATAGATATAATGAGGACAAAATGTAGGAACCTGAAGAATGTGTACCAGTTTTGTTGTATATCAGAAAACCTATACTGAAGAGAAACCATATAAAATATATACCCATGTGCTATCCTCATGTCCTGCTCTTCATTGGAAATTCCACACACTACAGAACCCTCAAAATGCACTCAGTTTGTCAAATCTTTCTTCTAATGCTAACATTGTAGATACATTGGAAAACTCATCCTGAAAGAAACCCAAGAAAATGCCTTAATAAAAATTTGTCTTTTATTCCACCTTCAAAATATTCATTCTGGAGTAAAACTCTACAAGTACCAAGAATGTAAGAAACCTTGACAGAGACATGTGAGTGTAACAGCACATGCATGCTTGTGGATAATAGCTCTGAAGTCCTCAAGAAGGTGCAGGAAAATCATTTTTAAATACTCAACATTGAGAGGTATTTAGTCCTGCTTCAAAGTGCAATAATAGAAGAGTGATATTAGAAAGACCAAGGCATAAAGACTTGTAGACACTATAAAAGCCAGTGTGTTGTAAAGAACAAAACCAGATGAATACATGAATTTTTCATGTGTTTGAGTGGAAGTGAATTCTTATATTTGAGCAAATAAAATGGTGTTTGCTAACATTTTTTTTTATATTTCCAATATTAGAGTTTGTTGAAATGTGAACACATGCCATCTTGTTTGAAAATGATTGTGTGATAGTTTTTATCAACTGCTGCTGCATCAAGCCAGACCCTAAGACAGAGACAGAGGGAAGTTAAGTAGTTAATGCCTGGCCCCTTACTACTCTGAGACACTAATCAGCTGGAGAGAATTCTTTGATGCCAATATCAGATTTGTAAATAACTATACAACCCACCATGCCATCTTCCAGTTCCTATATTCTTGCTGTCTGCCCCCCTGTAAAGGTCTCTGAGCTTTGGAGGATGAATTACCCAGGATTTTTTAGAGCAGTGGTTCTCAGCCTTCCTAATGTATGACCCTTTAATATAGTTCCTCATGTTGTGGTGATCTCCAACCATAAAATTATTTTAAGTGCTGCTTCATAATTGCAATTTTCCTACTGTTATCAATAATGTAAATATCTGTTTTCCAATGGCCTCAAAGGAGTTTTCACCCACAGGTTGAGAACCACTGCTCTAGAGGAACAGAACTGATAGGATGAATCTATATGTATTAAAAAGGGATTTTACTAGAGTGGTTTACAGGCTGTGTAGCTAGTTCCAAAATGGCTGGCTCCTTATGGAAAATCGAAGATCCAGTAGTTGTTCAGTTCATGAGGCTGGAGGTCTCAGTTGTTCTATAGTATACATTGGAATCTTAAAGAAGTAGGGTTTTCTTTTTCTTTTTTTAAGTCTTTTTAATTGATAATGGATTTTTTTCATACAGTATGTTCTGATCACAGTTTTTCTACACCTAACCCCTCCAAGATCCACTTTTCACCCACCAAAATCATCACAGTTTCTTTTCCTCTCTCATTAGGCATCTGAAATGATGATGATGATGATAATAATAAACCAGAATAGGACAAGTAGTATGTTCTAATACCAGAGTAGGAGTGCCTCAGCAGCTGCATAGATGAACCAGTGTGTGAGAGTGGGGGCAAGTAGAAAAAAGAAAAAGCTTCCTTATCCCATGTCCATTTATATAGTCTGCCACTAGAAGTTGTGGCCCAGATTTAGGGTGGGTCTTTCCACCTCAAATGATCCTTCAAGAAAAGTCCCTCAAAGGTATGTTCAGCTGTTTGGGTTTTGATAGACCTCAGATATAGTCAGTTGATTAACCATCACAGAAGCAGAAGTCTGGCTATGATCTTCTAACTCATGTTCCTTTTATTTACCTTACTGTTTCTATAGCATGGTTGATGATCAATAGAAGTAGTTCTTTCAAGTCAAGTGAGAAATAGAAAGGGGAACAGAATGATATCCAAAAGAACTCTAACAGCTATAACGGCCTGATGTTACAAAAATAATATTAGGAAGCAGCTTAGTCAGTATATTGTATAAATCACAGTTGTGTGCTGTTTTTACAAATGGGCTCCTGCCCATAGGTTTTGCCTAAGTTTACAGTACCAGGGGAAAAAAACAACAACAAAGATATATGAATGATTTCTACTGTACTCCTGCAAAATAGTCTTCGGTGTTGGGAACTTCTGTAGTCCCTTCCCTAACAGAGTGGCAAGGAGTATCTGCAGGTGAGAACCATGCCAAGTGCATGAAAAATCAGATGTGAATGTCCTCCTGGGGAGAAGGCTTTAAGTTTAATCAGACAGCTGGTTCTGTCTATATCCACCTAACTACTACTGCACTAGCTGGCACTATTTGGCTCTTTCATTATGAAGCATGCAGAATCCATACCTGAGTAAGACTTTGGGCTATAATTCTCCCTAGCAATCTTAATAGCACCTGCTGGTACTATCCCGTTCTGGAATGTAACCAACATTAATGACATTGCCTGTATTCTTTTAGAGGCCACAGTAGCCTCCCTGGCCAACATCTTCTTGGGAGGTAACCTACTCACAGCAGTGGATTTTACACAAACTTAACAACAACATTCTGGTAACACTTGCTTTTATTCTCACAAGATATACTTGATAGCATTTATAAATTGATTTCTTAAAAATCCTTAGTCCTTTAGATACTCTTGTTTGTCTCTTTCATGGGTCTTTAAATCTAAAAATCGCTTAAAGGTTAGTATTATGTTTTGTGTATCTAATGAAACTTTTAAGAGAAGATTGCCAGGGCAACAATGTAAAGTCTAGAACCACCATCCCATAACAAATGGTGTGGTTATGAAAATGGCCTTGGTGAAGCACTCTGAAAATCAGCTATTGAACAAGTGTCAGGAGATCAGAAGCTTACAGCTCAGAAGATTCTAAACCAAACTGATAGCAAGGTTTAATACATGGGAAGATTTTATCCTTTGTTACAGTTTTTCTGACTGTCTCACTCTGCATACATTTACAAAGCCTCTGAATGTTTTTGTTATTTTTTTCAACCCTGATAAACTTAGTGTGTCTACCTATAGTGCACAAGGAAATAATCACCCAATTTTTTGGCTGTGCTGTACCTGTCTCCTTGCTTCTGCCTATTCCTCTCTCTTCAGCTGAATGCACTATCTGCATACTGCAGAGAAATGTATATGATCTACTCAGGAGACAGGTGACTACCATTTGTCAAGCTTAATCAATTTAGCATGTCTCGTTTTACACACAAGTGTACTAAGTGATGTTTATTATATTACTGATCCTGGGCCCTAACTGTAATCAAAGCACAGCTGCTTTCAGCATCAACCAAAGCCCAAATATTTTTAACATTAACACAACATTGGTTTTTCAGTCACTGGGCATGGTTCTCACCTGTAGGTATGGCACTCTATACCACATAGAGGAAGACAGTCTCATTGGAATGTCCATATTCTCTTCTCAGACTTATTCTGAAAAAAGCATTCAGCCTTAGTTACATGACTCCACACCCACTTTGGGACCATGCAATTGCTGGCACAGCAGGGATGTGTATTATCCATACCACAGGGAAAGGTAGCCATGTAGTAACCCTGCTGCAAGTTTTTCCCCTGTCAGGCTGCTCAGACCATGCAATAAAATCACTACCAGTATCTTAATTAGAGCTTTATTGCTATAAGAGATGCTATGACCACAGCAACTCTTAGAAAACATTTAATTGGGGCTGATTATACAATGTTAAAAGTTTAGTCTATGATCTTCATGGCAGCACACAGGCAGACATGGTGCTTGAAAGGTAGCTAAGAGTTCTATATCTAGATCAGCAGGTAGCAGGAAGAGAGTAGGCCTTGTTTGAGCATCTGAAACCTCAAAGTATGCCAGTGACATACTTCCTCCAATAAGGCCATACGTACTCCAAGAAGGCTACATCTTTTTTCATTTTACATACCAATCGCAGATACCCCTCTCATCCCTCCTCCCGCTCCCCCCACCACCTATCCCCCACCCCCGACCCACCCTGTCATCCACTCCTCCAATAGGATAAGTTATCCCATGGGGGACAGCAAAACCTGGTACATTCAGTTGAGGCAGGACCAAGCCCCTCCCCACTATCAAGGGTGAGCAAGGTGTCTGACTGTAGGTAATGGGATCCAGAAAGCCAGCTCATGAAGGCCACATCTTATAGTGCCTCTCCCTATGGACCTATGGGGGAACATTTTTGTTCAAACCACCACAACCAGTTAACTTGATCAGCCTAGTGTATCACTATAACACTGAAATATATATAGTAGTGTCAGATTCCCATGGGAATTTCAATCTCACCCATCATCCCTTATGTCTGCTTTCCATCTTTCAGTGCCTGGATCAGATATTCCGTTTTTGTACTATTTTTTTCAGTAAACAAAAATGAAAATTTTCATTATGTAATGTCTTAGAATTTCTATTGCTATGAAAGACACCATGGCTATGGCAGCCCATATCAAAGAAAACATTTAATTGGGGTGGCTTACAGTTTCAGAGGTTTAATTTATTATCTTTATGGTGGGATGTGGTGAACAGGAAGACATGGTGCTGGAGCAGGAGCTGAATTCTACATCTTTATCCTCAATCAAGTTTCTGTCCACACTAGGTGTACTTTGAGCATAGGAGATCTCAAAGCCTGCCCTCACATTGACAGCCTTCCAACAAGGCCATACCTACCTTAGCAAGGATACATCTCCTAATAGTGGCACACCCTATGAGCATAGAGGGTCAGTTACATTTAAACTACTACATGTCACAATAGGCAGATCTAAATGTATTGCTTCCTGAAACCTTAAGCTTCTGTCTCCAGATAGTTGGAAATATGGATGTGTGTAATCAACACAGGTATTGTGTAAGTTTCAAAGGTTAAGGGCATAAAAGCCATATGGGCACATACTGTTTGTAATTAAATATAATTTTAAATATATAGTATTTGAGTGGAATTACTCTGATTCCCCCAGAGATCAAAGTTAGCAAAGGAAAGTGTCAGGAACAGATGGTAAGATACCTACTTTGTTCTTGGTTAAGAAGATCACAGGGATTTCCCTGAAACTATATACAATTATTGTTTCTGGTTCCTATATTACTGAAGAAACCTCACATTTTTGTTACAAGACATAAAAATCAAGCTTCACTTGAGCTGGAAGCTCCTTCCTTGCTGGTGAGCTTTCATAGTAATGAAGTTCTGTGCAAAATACTAGTGGAGGAGTCATCAATGGTCTTACCCAGATATAAACTGTGCCTACCACTATACTCACTTGCCAAACAGGAACTGTCCATTGATACCATAGTATTGCATTATAGGATGCAGCATATTTCTTGTTAGATATGAGCCCTAATCGTTCACACATCATATTGAAGAATTAGTCAAATCTCCATTGTTGTTGCACTGAATGGGTTATCTTTATCTTCCCACCCCAAAGAACATTGTGAAAAGCCCAAAGAGCATTGTAAAAGAGGGAAAAAAATATGAGGCCAAATATTGGTAGAATTGCTGTCTCTTAAGTATGATCTGGTTACTGTATTCATGACATCATAGCCACTGTTGTTACATGCACATGAGGGCCTCATAAGGCCTGAACACACTTAAAGGAGTTGTTAGCAGTTAATGGATAGTGGATGTTGGGGCATCAGCTTCTTCAGAAATAGAACTACATGTAAATTGCCAATTGTCTTCGAAATACCCTTTCACATATGTTTCTGCAAGCAATATGGATTATACTTTGTGCATCTCAACAACAGCAACAATGTATGAGAGTCAAAGAAAGATGAGAGAAAGAATGGATTCAGCAGGATAGAGGGGGATTAGAGAAGGAACTAGAAGATCAAAATAGATTATACATGTACATGAAATGTGTGAAAATCTAAGAATAAATGTGTTTAAGTAAAAAGGAATTGAAGAGCAAAGTGCTTAGAATCATATTCATTCCAAAACTGACTTGTTACATAAAAGGAAAATGAATTTTTGTCTTTCCCATATAATTTCATAGATACTGAATATTTGAGCCAGGCATTAAAGATGGATAGGAAGGTGACATAAGAGATGATAGGTGGAGTTCAGAGGGAAGAATGTTCTGACAAAATATGTGTGGAAAGACAACAGAACATGACCCAAGTGTGGTATATGCTGCTTACTTATCCACTGTGATCATTGTCCTGAGTGGGAGGCCTGGAGAGACAGCCTCTTTTATTCATTTTATTTTATTATTTTAATGAGGAAATAAGGAGTGCATACTGAGAAGTATTACAAACAAATGGATTATACCTCCTGAAAGAATACTTCACCTGTGGTCTAAAGGGTAAAAGTGGGGGCTATAAATTCCATAGATCCACAGAAGGGAGCCTAGCAGAGAGAGAGCATAGTAATGACCCTGTAATGCTGGACTGTCCTGACACAATTAAATATTTCTATGCAGGGTTGGAGAGAAGAATCAGTGTTATGAGTATTTATTGCTGTTCTGTAAGACTGGGGTTCAAGTCTCAGCCCCAAATTGTGAATAATGATCACAACCTCCTATCACCCCAGTTCCAGGGGATCTGACACTACTCTTCATGCCTCTGCTGGCACTGCAAAATGTGATGCACATCCTTGCAGTCAGAACACTCAGAAAGTAAATCTATTTTTTAAAATTTCTATGCGATAATGGAGGAGCCATTTGATGAAATTAGAACATGGAAGCTCTTCCTTGCAAGTCTTTTTTTTTTTTTTTTGTCAGACCCACTTTAATAAGGAGTTGCTTGCTAAGAATGGCAAGCAATTGTAGCCTCATCACAGACTACAATCTGTTTTTTAAAGTGACACCACCTACAACTAGCATGCATTAACTTCCAGTAGACACCTAGGGAAGGGTGATAGCCTCATGGGTCCCTACTGCCTTGTAAAATACTGATGGACATTGTATTATGAAGCCTTGTGCAGATGATCACATCAGCAGTGAGTCCATGAGTACAACAACTATGTCATGTCCAGATGAGTTTTTTAGTGGACTCCTTCCCAACTTCTGGCTCTGGCTTTTCTAATCTTTAACTTCTGTCTTTCACAATATCCTCTGAACTTTAGAAGGGGCAGTTCAGTGGTTGCACCTAGCACAGAGTCTTCTAGCATCAATTCTTCTCTTCAGGTTTTCCAGTTTGGAGTTTCTGCACTACCATGTGTCTACTGAAATGAGAAGCATCTCTGATGAAGGCTAATCACAACACTGTAATATAAAAATGAAAATTTAAGAGAATGGTTGACATATGATTTTGAGAAAAATAGCTGTACTGTGTCCCACTAACACCCATGAAATTCCATGCACCATATACTTAACCATGTTTACAAAATCATGCATGAGTTTTCTCTGTGAAGGGAGCCTGAAATTCAATCAGAAAATTGGTTAATCACTGTATTAGTTAGTGGTGGGAAAGCATGGTAGAAAACAGACATGTCAGCTGGGGTAGGAGATATGACACCTTCAACAGCATGCAATGGAAAGAAGTGTAAGTTACTCAAGCCCCTTCCCCTTTAAAGCTTTCCCCTAATGATGTACTTTCTCCAGTAACCTGCACTACCTGAGCCTTTCAAAACAGCGCCACTAACTAGGGACTACATGTTCATATGCATGAGCCTATAGGGGACAATCTCATTCAAGCCAGTGTAGGGAAAAGGGGCTGGCTAAAGAAACCCACCCGGACCCTGGAGCCCAGAACTAGGGAAAGATGGCTCAGATCAGGGCAGAAAGAAATACAGTTTGGCTCAGTAAGATCAGAGCCATCTTTGCCCCTGGCCAACTGACTTGTAAAACCAACCCATCACAGAGCAGGATAGTAGAACCCTGGGCCTGGGGTTGACTCCACCCCCAAGACTTTCCATGTAAACCTGCTCGGCCCAGTCAGTTAGAAAGAAAACTGTTCTCTCCACCCTGGTAGAAGCAGCTACTCTCCTGGACTCCTCCTTCCCAAATAAATCTCCTCCTCAAAAGGGTTTTTTTTTGTGTGTGAAGATCGTCATTCACTGGTGTAGAGAAGATCCTGAGACATCCCCAGTGGACAAAACAGAGAGAGAGAGAGAGAGGGAGGGAGGGAGGGAGGGAGGGAGGGAGGGAGAGAGAGAGACAGAGAGAGAGACAGAGAGAGAGACAGAGAGAGAGAGAGCTGAAAGAGCAGGGCAAGAAGGAGCTGAACAGAAGATCTTTGCTGAGACATCTCTCAGTGGACAGAGAGAACTATAAATAACACTTTTCTCTGGAGCTGGAGGAGATTGCTCCATTTCTGCAGGGGTTTCCCCTTTCACAGAGTGAAGCAAAAGAAGCAACATCTTAGGCTGGAGAAGCAGAGCTCTGATAGGAAATCCCCTTAAGTGGGGGCTGAGCAAAGCTCAGCTGTAGAGGCTGTCCAGGGGAAGAGCAGGATTGCTATATCCTGCGGGGAGACCATCCCCCATCACACCAGGTATACCTTGACTTTTCCAGAGTCAGGATACCCTTCCCTGCTGAACCAGTTCCAGGCCTGACTCTCCCAAGAAGGCAGAAAAATTTCCCTTCCAGGGTTGGGCTGTTTCCTTGTAGTCCCAGCTGTCAAAGCTGTGCTAAACAGCTTTAGGTGTCCGGGAAACCTTCAGGGCGGAGTCCAGGATGGCTGGCCAGTAAACCCTAGGAGCCTATCTGTCTCTGCCTCAACACTGGATAATCTGATATAGTAGAAAAACAAATTTTAATAAATTACTCCATCTTTTACTGGCTATTAAATAACTTTGGACTGAATTATTTTGTTGTTTTGCAGTTGATGCTGTTGTTGTTTTTGAGACAGGGTTTCCCTGTGTTGTTTTGGTGCCTGTCCTGGATCTCCCTCTGTAGACCAAGCTGGACTTGAACTCACAGATCTCCCTGGCTCTGCCTACCGACTGCTGGGATTAAAGGCATGCACTACTGCTGCCTGGCTCTACACTAAATTATAAGAACTTAAGTCTCTTAGTAAGTAAACAGTCATTTCTTCTATAGATTAGTAACTTGAATAGAGCCATAGTTTGGGGACTTTTCATGTTTGTTTACTTTGTTGTTTATTTTTCAGTGCTGGGAATCAAACTTAGGCCTCACACTACGACTGAACTATGTCACACACACACACACAGTATTTCATGTTTATGTGCAATTAAAGCAGCCCTTCTAAAAAACAGGATTTGCAGCTTTACATAAGGGAAAGGATTTCCCCTTATGATCATCACCTTTCATTTTTAGGGAGCACAAAAAAAATTAAAAGTGCTTGAAACCAGAAAAGAAGGATTAACTAGTTTATACATCCTAATGAAATAATGGTAAAAGACACAATGCACTGAAAATAATTCTGTAAGTCTAGCAAATGAGGTTGGTGGGTTCTTAACTAACATTTATTACATATATTCATTTTTATTACAAAGCTTTTTGGCTATTTCAATAAAACAACTGTAGACTTTACAGTACTTCTATTCATCCATTCATTAATAAAAAATTGTTAAAATCCCTTACTTGGTAGTTCTGGAAAGGTCTAATCAAATACAATCATTAAAACTACAAGAAAAGCTTTGCTATACCGATTGCAGACTCATTTCAAAGTGGATTTAGTCACTTTCAGGATCTGTCATGTAAACGGTGAATACACTCACCAGATTCAAGTCTGAAAATATAAAGAATTTTAGCCAGTGCTGACTATAGTTAAACAGTACTGGTATTGCTTGAAAAAATGAAAATTCATTGTCAGCCATGCATTCCACAACTTCAAGAATAACTTATAAATATTGTTATGATGACTTGGAATGTACTCTGGTAAATAAAAGGATCAGGGAAGTAATTCTGTACACACATTGCCCAATGCTTGGCATCCAGGTTCCCACTTTTGACTTTGTAACTATTCTAGCATAACTCTTTTAAGAATGTTAAATGAGGTAGAAGAAGACACCTTTGGGAGGGTGTAGACAAATTTCTACACAGTCTTATTAAATACGAAACACAGGGCCAAATACAGAGGTAATAGCCAAAGAGATTGGAGCAATAGCCATGACTAACCTTAGCTTACCACCAGCAGTAGCTGCCACAGAGAGAGCTTCTTGCCATCTAACCTGTTTTATTCTTGCCTTTCTGTTCTGATTTGCCATTGGCTCTAAGCCCAGCCACATGACTTCCTTATCACTGCCTGTCTATACAGACCTCCAGGTCTCTATGGTTGGTACTGGGATTAAAAGCTCATGTCACTGCTTGGCTGTGTCCTTGACCACACAGAGACTCTGACTGCCATGTGATTGTATTAAGGGTGTGGGTTACCACTGCCTGACTTCTGTTTATGGCTTGCTGTGTGACCTCACTATGTGACCTCAGATCTACAGGCAAATCTTATTTATTAACATATAAATAAAATCACATTTTAGCACAATTAAATTATCACCACATTTCCCCCTTGTATTGTAATAAAAAGAAAAAAGTTATAACTAATATACAAAAAACTATATACAATAAGTACAATAACTATATACAATATATACAAGTAATAAATACCTCAACAATGTTTAGTCCATTTGCATTTGACAAACTCAAAGAAAATATTTCATTATCTATCCTCTTTTGGTAAGTAATGTGCCTGAATCACTTTTTATCCTAATTTGTATTATTACTAACAGAGAACTATCTTATAATGTCTTCTAAATTTATGCATTTTACACCTCTTTTGTGAGTTTCTTTTCTGAATTTCTTAACATGGAAAACTATAATCTTCAACTAACTATAACTGTCTAATCTTTAACTAACTATAACTATCTAATCTTTAACTAACTATAATTATAACTAATCTTTAACTCCCTCAGAAACCCAAGAAGGAAATAATAATACCTAATAAAACATGAAGTGCGAGCAAGCAGCTTCCAAAAAATGTGAGTTGACAGAAACAGCCAGCTGCCTGGACAGTCACCCAAGATTTCTCTACAATGTTGGGGCATCATCTTTAGCTTATTGGCTTAGTGTATCTGACAGACTCATTTGAGAAGTAGGATGTATACAAGGCCCAACAGTTTGACCTCACATTTGGTGAGTAGTCCATGTACTGGTAAACATGAATTCCAACAGTGTCCTGTCATGATTCAGGATTTTAAATTCTGGAAATGGCTGATGTTTTTAGTATTTGGCTGTCCATTGTTCTCAGCTTGTGGGTGGCTTCATCTCTTTTATTAAGTGCCATTGAGAGGTTAGACTCCATCACCCTACTTATTCTTTCAAGAATAACTGTTTCAGCTACTGTTCCACTGTACACCAAAAGCCGTCGGTCCATTGCTGGTTCAGCTGCCTTCAAAGAAAGGGGCACTGGACCTTTTCTGGATTGCAAAGCCACTTCAGCGATGGTGCCATATTGTCCTGGCCTCAGAGGATGTCTGTTGCTAAATCCACAACCACACTTGTCTTGGCATGGATTGGTAGTCATTTCTTTTGTGTCCTGTCTGTCCATTTTATCCTGTTTGTCAGCCGTCGATTTGAGGAAACTTTGTTGTCCAGTGGCTAACTTATGCCATAATGAAAGTTAACTCCATATGCTGTTTCTTCAATGCCCATATCTTCTCTGAAGTAGACTGGTGCTGCCAGGAGACTACATATCTCATAGTCATAAAAAAAAAGAAAGAAAGAAAAAAAACTCTAAGTTATTAAATCATTTTAAATGCCATATTCTGTAGATCTTTGAAAACATACCTAATATGACTACAAATTTGATTGTATTGTGTAACTACTAATTTTCATTTCTTTATATCCTAATACTTGGTAATAATAACATTTAAGCATTAGCAAATTGCATTACACTGTTAAATGAACTAAGTACAATATCCTGAACAAAATTAAAAAAAAAACATATAGCATTTTCTAACAATATCAATCTCAATATATATAATTTGTATACAATATATAAAAATCCAATCCAATTTAAAGTATTTAGAACTAGTAATTGTCTTTTAAAGGTAGATTCCAAATCTACCTTTTAACCTATATCATAGCTATATCCTCTGTTTACTTTTTAGAGTAAATTTAATAATCTATCCTCTATTTTATTATTTTTAAATATTTTTTTAAAATAAGAACCTTAAATATAGTCTCCTTTGCTTAGTCTTTTTTTTAAACCATTAACAACAACAACTTGTAACCAACCCTCCTAAACAATGAAAATTATCCCAGACCCGAAACTCTTTGATAGACCAAAAATCATCTGCCCCATAGCACCTTTTTGGCAATGTGGGCATCGTGTTCTTAAAATAGTTTCCTGCTGGTTGTCGGTGAAGGCACGTTTCTTCTGAAAAGAAAAAAATTGGCTTAATTATCAAGTTCTAGGAAAAGTAGCTATATCCTTTGTTGTCCAGTCTCTTCATAAAACCAAAATTCAGGGCTTATCTCAAGTCCTTGTTCAAGTAGTATATGAAACTGGATCATATCAGCTAGCCATCTTAAAATTGTTCTGAGCAGTTTTTAGTCCAAAGCTGATCTGTAAGTCATGTTTGTCAGCTTAGTGGTATTACTATTGTCCATGTGGAATCATTTTTGTGGGGCCCCATTATCTTTCTGGAGACTTTAAATTTGATGTTAGGCCTGGTTGTGATTCCCTGTAAAAAACTGATAGAGACTCAAACACAAAAACATGTATGGGCAGTTAATTGAAGCCCCCTTTTTTTAGAATTAGTTAGTACTCTATATGACCATTAGTATCATAATAAAAGTTTAATATATATATTAATCTTATAAATTTTGATATAAAATGCATACCTTAAGAAAAGTTTAAAGAATCAAAGAATTGAGATTAGTAACAATAGGTTAGTCCCTTAACTTTTTTCTTTTCTGTCCCATATCAAAAGATGACTCTTTCTTCTGGCATGATACAGAGATTTTGTATTTTCTTTTTAACAATATGCTTGGGTCTAAAGAAGGAGAAAGCCATTCTCCAACTCCAAAGCCAGCTTTAATTTTTAATTTAACTGGGACTACAAGACCATTTGTGTTGTGTCTTTAGAGAAGAGCAGAAATAACATTTAGAAAGACATGAAATTTTATAGATGATAAAACAATAGGCCAATTTACTTTTGGGGGGGGGACATTTTTTTTAGATGATTTGTCCTTTTTTTTTTTTTTAAGGTATCTCATTTGACCAGTGTTTTTAACATTTTTTTAGCCTTCATTCTCCTGAAAGACAAACCTTTCACCAAGACTAACTGGGGAGGCTCCCTTTGGGCAAGTTATATCTGATTAAATGAAAAGTATTTGTTAGTGATATAAGTTAAGTTAAACTGGATAGTCATGCTAGTTAATGAATTATCACCTCTTCTAATTAAGAAGTCTCTCTTGTTCAAATCAATCCTTTATGAATTTTGATGGTATCCACAGCTTATCTTTTTCTGTAAAAACAAAAGCAAAACCTTGCCCCAACGTAACACATCCTGGTTTCCATTCTGAGGTCAGCACATCCATATAATATATAGGTTGATTTAATTTTGTAGGGTTTTTTTTTATCTAATGTCTCTCTGTAGCTGTTGTTTCTTCTTTTAGTAGCATTGAGAAATTTTAAATTTAATAGAGCATCATGTAATCTATTTGGGGGATGTTACCACTTTCTCTTTATTTAGCATATCCTTTAGAGTTCTGTTTGATCTCTCTATTACTGCTTGGCCTGTAGGATTATGTGGTATACCTGTAATATGATTTATATTGTAATAAGCAAAAAAAAACTATTTAATTTTACCAGAGACATATACTGGAGCATTGTCAATTTTAATTTGTGCAGGTATACCCATGATGACCATAACTTCTAGCAAATGTGTGATCAGCTTTTTTACAACTCAAAGCCATTGCCCATTGAAATCCTAAATAAGTATCAATGGTATGTGTAGCATGAATCTTAAAAGTTCTTATTGATAAAATCAAACCTGAGGCGAGTTATTGGGGTCAATATTGGTAGATCAGAGAGACAGAACAAGCCACAGCTATCTCACCTCACCAATTCCTCAGCCGGTCCTGTTTCCTCAGACTGGAAGTCTCTGAGTCCTCATCCAGAATGGATCTCAGCTGAACTGTGCTGCTTCAAAGACTGAAAGCTTCGAATGCTTAACTAGCCACATGCTTAACCAGCCAAATGCTTCTAGTTTCTGGTCCTCACGCCTTATATACCTTTCTGCTTTCTACCATCACTCCCTAGGATTAAAGGCTTGCTTCCTGGGATTAAAGGCGTGAGTCACCATGCCTGGCTGTTTCCAATGTGGCCTTGAACTCACAGAGATCCCAGATGGATTTCTGCCTCTGGAATGCTAGGATAAAAGGCGTGTGCTATCACTGCCTAACTAGTGGCTCTTCTGTTCTCTGACCTCAGATAAGTTTATTAAGGTACACAATATTTTGGGGAACACAATACCACCACAGGTATGGTGTAAATATTTTAATTTTCCAAATTCTGCAAAGTGAAACACATGCATCTGCCGGATTTCATTCCTCTGAGTACCCTTTGGGTTACATCCTGCTGGTAATGGAGTCTGATTGTAAAAGGAACAAGAAGGATATTTCCTTAAAATTCCCTTGACTTGTTGCCAGGTTATGGAAAAATGCTTATTTAAACCTTTACTACTGACATGATGTTTTTATGAAATTCTGAGGCCTCCAGCACATTTCCTATGAATAATTTATTAATCTCATCATTACCTTGTGCTAGAGAGCCTGGTAGACCTGTATGGGATCAGATGTGAGTTATATATAAGGGATGGTTTTTAGTTTTGATTATATCTTGTAACTGAATAAATAGTGAAGTTCTTTCTGACTCATCAGGGATGAATTCTGCAGTCTCAATATGTAATACCACTCTTTCAGCATACTGAGAGTCAGTAACTATGTTGAGAGGTTCTGAAAAATCCATTAATACCAACAGAATGGCATACAATTCCTATTTTTGAACAAATTTGTAAGGACTTTGAACCACTTAACTTAAATTTTCTGATTTGTAACCTGCCTTTACTTGTTTGTTTGCATCTGTATAAAATGTATGAGCTCCAGATATGGGTGTTTCCCATACAATACAAGGCAAAATCCAATCTGTTCTCTTTATAAGTTCAATTCTATCACTTTGGGGATGTTTGCTGTTAATCTTTCCAAAAAAAAATACTGCAAGTTTTTTGCCAAGGTTCACTTTCTGCTCATAGTTTTTCCAATGTTCTCCTTAATTAAAGGTACTACAATTTCTGCTGGGTCTATTCCTGCTAATTGACAAAGTCTCGATTTTCCTTTTAAAATAATGTCAGAGATCTTGTCCACATTAAGTTTTTAATTTTTTACTCTGTTTATTTGGTTGAAATATTTATTCCAATATAATATATTTTCTCTGCATTAAAATGCCTGTAGGAGAATGCCTAGAGGGTAGAATAACCAAAATGAAATCCAGCTTTGGATCAACACCCTCCACGTGTCCTTCTTGTACTTTCTTTTCTACCAAGGCCAATTATTTCTCAGCTTCAGATGATAATTCTCTTGGACTATTTAAGTCCTTGTCACCTTCTAAGGTTTTGAACAAATTACTCAGTACATCATTTTTTACCAGAACAATAGTTTGTAGATGAGAAATATCTCTGAATATTCTTTGAAAATCATTAAGAGCATGTAATTGATCTCTCCTAACTTGTACATTTTGGGTTCTAATTTTTGTAGACCTATCTTATATCCTAAATAATTAATAGAGTCTCCTCTTTGTATCTTTTCAGGAGCAATTTGTAATTCCCCATGAGGCAAAATTTTCTTTACTTTTTCCAACATTCTTTTCTAAAGTACCTGCATTTGAGTCATCTAGTAAAATATCATCCATATAATGATAAATTATAGATTTAAGAAATTTTTTATGTATCACTTCCAATAGCTATTGTACAAAATATTGGCACTGGGTTGGGCTTTTCAACATTTCCTGTGGGAGAAGCCTCCATCGATATCTCTTAACCAGTTGAGAATTATTATAAGTAGGCACTGTGAAGGCAAATCTTTGTCTGTTTCTTGTAAGGGTATTGAAAAAAAAGTCTTTTAAATTGATACTATAAGAGGCCTTCATTTAGGTAACAGAGTAGGCAAAGAAATTCTGAATTGCAGAGAGCCCATTGTCTGAATTACTTTGTTAATTGCTCTAAGGTCTGTTACCATTCTCCGTTTACCAGGTTTCTTCTTAATAACAAATACATGAGAATTTCAAGGGCTAGTTGATTCTTCAATAGGCAAGCATTAGCCTGCTCTTGTACCAGCTCTTCTAAAGCCTGGAGTTTCTCAGTTGTTAAAGGCCATTGCTGAACCCATATAGGCTTTGTCTGTTAACCATTTTAAAGGTGGAGCTGTTGGTGTCTTTGCAAGATCATTAGTTGTTGTGCCCTGTTCTTGTATAATCTGGAATACTGGTGACCACTCATTAGAATAATACCTTCTAATATTTCTCTCAGAAACATGTGCTAGTTTATGATTTGTTTCTGAGGTTGGAGGGATGTTAATCTGAGTATTCCATTGTTGTAATATACCACAGTCCCATAAGTTCATAGCTATGTTAGCCGCATAAGGCTTTAATTTTCCTTTCTTTCCTTCTGGACCTATACATTCAATTCATCTTGTACTCTGTTTCACTTGAGATAAGGTTCCAATTCCTAATAGTTGAACATTGCCTCCTGAAGGGGCCAAGTTGAATGACAAAATTTTGGTGCATTTATTTTCATATCTGCACCTCTGTCTACTAAGCCAGATAACAAAACATTATTTATTTATGTTGTTGATGTTGGTCTTTGTTCATTCATAGAAGTTTGCCAAAAAATTTTCTTTATGGTTTCTCCTGAGTTTCCTATTCTCTCTACCTCAGCTCTTCTATTGCCCCAAGCAGCATAGTATATTCCAACAGGCATTTGCTTATTTAATTGCTCTGAGTAGGGTTTTCTTCTATGATGGTAGGAAAGGTCTGAACGGGGTTTGCTGCAGTGGCCTGCCTGAGGTCCCTCTGGGAGTTTCCCAAGGACAGAGGCAAAGGATCACCTTTCTTGTTCCTTGTTGATCTACATTCTTTGGTCCAATGTTTACCCTTACCAAACCTTGTATTCTGTTGCCATTGCTCCTTGAAGAAACATTGTTTCTAGGAATGCCCTGTTTACATTCCCTTTTCAAATTACCTTGCTTCACACATTCAAAATTTCTGACATTCCTCCAACCTTTTGAAATTGTTTCTTCTATCCACATATCCTCATGACCATGAGACTCAACATTATTTGTGTCCCTGATCCAATCCTCCAATGCTGCACATCTTGCCTTTAATGGCCCGATTATTCTCTTGCATGCTGCACTGACGTTCTCAAAATTCAAAGATTCAATTATTATCTGGATAGCTTTCTGAATTTGGGACCATTCTATTTAGTGCTGAAGACAGTCTTTGTAAGAAATCCGTGAATGATTCTTTTGGGCCCAGCATATCTTTTGTGAATGACTCAATTTTCTTTCCTACTTCCTCAATTCTGTCTTACGCACTCATGGCTGCCATTTGGCACAGAATTAAGGTTTTGTTATGATATAAACATTATTTTTGTATTTCAGCCTTCTCCAAGAAGCTGATCCTAGGAGATTTGCACACTTCTAGCCCTCCATTGACTTTCTATCATCTTAGCCTCATGTTTGAACCACATGCGCCACTGCAGATGTGCTCTAGGTTCCAAGACAGTGGTTTCTAATTGTTTACAGTCTTGAGGGATAATTGTATTAAAA